ACGGTTTTTCTAAAAAAATTGCAAAGGTTAGTGGGATTTGGGAATGTGGTAAAGGTAGAAATTGAAAGTGAAACTAGAAAAAAGAAAGTGATGGGGGTATCAAATGTTTAGTAAAGAAAAATTGGATATCAAATTGGGGAGGAGGAGTATGGAAGAAGTGAATGTTTTTAGATACTTGGGAGTTGACGTGTCGGCGGATGGATTTATGAAGGACGAGGTTAATCATAGAATTGATTAGGGAAAAAAGGTGAGTGGTGCGTTGAGGTATATGTGGAGTAAAAAAACTTATCTATGGAGGCAAAGAAGGGAATGTATGAAAGTATAGTAGTACCAACACTCTTATATGGGTGTGAAGCTTGGGTGGTAAATGGAGCAGCGAGGAGACGGTTGGAGACAGTGGAGATGTCCTGTTTAAGGGCAATGTGTGGTGTAAATATTATGCAGAAAATTCTGAGTGTGGAAATTAGGAGAAGGTGTGGAGTTAATAAAAGTATTAGTCAGAGGGCCAGAAGAGGGGTTGTTGAGGTGGTTTGGTCATTTAGAAGAATGGATCAAAGTAGAATGACATGGAAAGCATATAAATCTATAGGGGAAGGAAGGCGGGGTAGGGGTCGTCCTCGAAAGGGTTGGAGAGAGGGGGGTAAAGGAGGTTTTGTGGGCAAGGGGCTTGGACTTCCAGCAAGCGTGCGTGAGCGTGTTAGATAGGATGAATGGAGACGAATGGTACTTGGGACCTGACGATCTGTTGGAGTGTGAGCAGGGTAATATTTAGTGAAGGAATTCAGGGAAACCGGTTATTTTCATATAGTCGGACTTGAGTCCTGGAAATGGGAAGTACAATGCCTGCACTTTAAAGGAGGGGTTTGGGATATTGGCAGTTTGGAGGGATATGTTGTGTATCTTTATATGTGTATGCTTCTAGACTGTTGTATTCTGAGCACCTCTGCAAAAACAGTGATAATGTGCGAGTGTGGTGAAAGTGTTGAATGATGATGAAAGTATTTTCTTTCTTTTTTTGGGTCACCCTGCCTCGGTGGGAGACGGCCGACTTGTTGAAGAAAAAAAAAAAAAAAAATATATATATTATACACACATATGCACTTTCCCCCCCTCATTCACGTCTGGCTCTTCCTAACTCCTAAAAGATGCTAAACAATCCTGACCAGTGCATACTAATATATTGAATACAATCTTCACTTGCCTAGTGGTATGTTAGATATTCTAGTAGGTACATTCTTGAATGAGCTTGTGCTTTGCTGGTTCATAATGTTCTTGAGGAGCCTCTAGTTTACTGCAAGTTAAAGTAGAACAACTGAGATGGCTCACTATTTGTCTACAGTTAGCAATATTTTATTAGTCTTTTCTAGAATACAACCATGGCTAACCAGGTGAAGTATATGTAGTGTTTGTGTGTATGTGAATAACTCCTATGAAGTAGTGTTAATTATTCTATTTTTAAGCATGTGTTAGTTAATTTTTTCAGCACATGTAATACAATTAGTATTTTAAAAGTATCAGCTAGTGTTAGATACTTTTTCACCAATACTAATACCTTTAAAAATAGCTCATACCCACTGGTAATGATGCCCATACTTTGGCACATCCCTCAAATATACATATACAAGACCTTATGATCCTTCGTAAGTATTTTAGTCTTTATTCAATCTAAATAATGGATACTAAAAATGTCATACTACAAACAAAATATTTTATTTCTGTACAAATGTGGATTTTTAGCAATGGCTATCCTCATAGAGAAAATAAATGCCTGCTGTTAAGTCAGCAATACTTTAAATATAATTTACAATTTAGATTTGAAACTTAACAGTTGAATTGAATATTTATATATGCAGTTTTTATAATCCAGTTTAGTCAGGTTTAAGGCCTATCAAGTGCTTGTGGGTGATTAAGACTGAAATTCACCTGTATACTAAAATCAAGAATAAGGATTAAAGTACTCTGTATATACCTTCAGATGTACAACTCAACAGAATCTAATTCTGCTATAGGATTTAAATGTATTAAAAATTTGTCAATTTTAAATTGAATATTTTTTTTTTCAAATTAATACTAATATTGGCAGATTACTAGTCTGTAATCAAAGGCTAGTTTAATGCCCCATGACTATGTTGCAAGGTATGTCATATACTGTATGCTTATATATTATAGTTAATAGATTTAAAAAGTGTCTGATCAATATTATGAAAGGTAGAATCAATAATTTAAGCAAGAACAAGGTAATACAAAGTGAAACCTGTGGATTACAACATAGGAAAAGATAATTTTTATATACAGTGACTTGAGATCAACACTCACATTTAAGAAGCAAGTGCAAATTAGTAAACTATTGCAATCTTTTATTGTACACCATAAAACTTACAAAAAGTATAGGTTTATCATAAAAATATAAAAAAATTATGCAAACAAAATAAATAAATACAGTAATGAAATAGAAAAGTACAGGTTAACTGAGATTGTTTCATAAAATGGAAATTGCAAGATATAAAGTGCCTGTATATATAGATGATTGAATTTGATATTAAGACTTGTATTGAGAATACTATGAGGTCATAAAGTAACAAAATATACAGGTAGTACTGGTTTTCAATAGAACTGAGCTTTACACTGAAAATTGCAAAAAAATGAATGAATGTATGTATATAAATATGCTTAAGTGCCCTGCAGTGTAGCAAATTGCACATGTTTAGATACATATGACCAGTTTACATCAAAAGTCAGTCACGTATTACCTCCTAAACCCTAAAGGGAGAATCATCAGTAAAAAAAAAATGTCATGTTTTTTATTCATATTTTGTTACAGGATATATATAAAAATTACTTATGATATTTAATCATGAAAATATACAAATATATTGGAAATTAAAATACAGCTCAGGTAACCAATCACGTTTTCCTGGTACAATAACCACGACTAGTTTGTATTATCTTATCCAACCTATTTAAATCCCAAAACCCTCCCTTTCTGGTAACTGTACATTTTCCCTCTTTAACACATCCCACCCTCTATCCTGGCTGCATTGAACTAATCAGTAATGTTGTGCTTGGACCGAGACTCCAAATCACACGACTGAGATTAATACCTTATATAAAATTAAAATAATTGACACTACATCTCATATACACCTGGCATTCTTCCCATTTAACCATATACAGTAAGTCTACTGTATTTTGCCAATTTTATTTACCTTAAAAGACGCTCTTAAATTAATTTAACATTTATCTTTGTTAAATCAGAATAGTATTATCTCGTTCAGTAATATTTTAGATATGAATTTAATACATGCATACAGTGTGTATCAAAATACAAACATGCCTGCTACTCACTCATATCATCAGAAGCCTAACAGCTCCTGACAAAAATTTCCCACATTTTAATATATATATATTAAAAAAAATCACATTCATAATTTTTTGAAGTTAAAATTATGCTTCCCAGAAAAGCAACTAACAAGTACTGTAATGAGAATGATAAATATGTATGGATGAATGCAAGGACTCAACATCCTTGCAAATGAATATGAATTGTGTGGAACCCATTGTATAATTGTGAATTAATAGAATTAACTCTCTCACAACCAAAATTCATCTGATAAATTTTGCAACATGAGGCAAGATATCCAGTAAAATGTACCATCAGTTCACTACTAAAAACAGATTAAATAACTTGGACAAATCATGCAATACTGTATATCAAAACAGACTATCCTCTAACCAGATTTGTGAGAGAGAAATTCAGCTTAATATGAACAATAAGTCTGTATGGCACCTCAGCATTTTCCTAAAAGCATCTATGTATAAGGATATATCACAAAGTGCCATGCACCTCTTGTTTCAGCTACTGTACTTTATTACAGCTGTCTTCATTCTTACAAAAAAAAATATATAAATAAAATAAACTATCATAAAACTGTACCCAGGATTTACTTCTTATTTTAAGGCAATAATCCAGTTATTAAATAACAAGCAAAAATAAGTTTTAGAAGGACAAAAGTTAAGATGTTTCATGAGAAAGCTGAGGCTACCAATGGTAATGAAGTTTGGTAATGATGGTAGCACAGGGGACTTCTCACTAACACCAAATCCTGTAACCAAACTCCTCTTGCAGATTTTAAATCACAGAGAATCAATGGACTGGAGAAAGACTGGTATCTAATACTGTATTTTCATTAACAAAAATATATTAACACAAAAATGTATTTTGTGCAGCTTAATCTATTTAATAATTAACCACTGGATTCTAACAAAGTATTCTAATTTACTTTTAAAGAATGGATTTAGAAGAAGCCACACTGAGTCTGAAGACCTGGGATTGAGAGTTAATGTCCCCTGCAGAGTATCACAGTAGCAGGTAGTGATTTACAAGAAGGCAATTCTAAATATAAGCATGAGCAGGGCTGAGATACCAGCTGTCAAGGGTACCGTGACGACCCACGCTATAACGATGTTCCTGTTGAGGAAGAGAATATACTTTGTACCTTTTAATTAGTAATGCAATTTTCATTTGAAGAATTTTTCAAAATTTGTGCAATTTGAATGCAAATGTGAAAATTACTGCTAATTTCTTATATTACAAAGTTTACTGAAATGCATATACCACAAAGACTTCTTAAGAAATTTACAAAATATAATATTTAATTAAAGCACTGTAATGTTAATCCATAAAAAAAGTACTTATCTTACCTGAAAAGTTTCCAATCGACACCCTGCCGAGAAGACTTGGCCCAGCCAACGAAGACAACAGATCCAACCTTACAATGAGTAGTAGAAATAGGGAGACCAATTTTTGAAGCAAGCAACACGGTGAAGGCAGATCCTATTTCAATGGTAAAACCAGAAGATGGAGTCACTTTAGTCAAATCTTCACCAATTGTTTGAATAACACGACGACCCCACACCCACAGTCCCACGGAGATACCCAGCTGCAAGAAGAAAAAAAAATTTACTAATCTGATGACTTTCAGATAATGTAATGAGTAGGTTTGTCATGTACTAATTGCACAAGTAAGCATATCAAAATTATGTAAGATGTGCAAACAATTTACACTAACAAATACATGCTGTACATAAGCCTGTTAAACTTACACCACCATACAAGAGAATATAGAGGGGTGTCGGAGACCTCTGGGCAACAGACCCTTCAGTGTAGATTGCCCACAGAGCTATCAGTGGACCAATTGCATTACTAACATCATTTCCACCATGGGCAAAGGAGCCAAAAGTAGCTGTAAGAATCTGGAGGAAGGAGAAAAGACCCTTCACCTCTGGTCTCTCGGTGTCAATATCCTTTTTGTCTGAGAGCTCCTCCATTGAGATCACTTTCACTTGGTTGGTATGTACAAGAGGCACTTGGCTGCTGTTATGAGTAACACCTAAAAAAAAAAAAAAAATACATACATATATTGTAGTAATAAAAGTACCCATGAAAATAACAATATGTAATTAAATTATTTATACCAGAATTGATTTTTTTTGTGGGGGGGGGGGGGGAATAATCTCATATATGAATGTGAATTCTGACAGAGATAATGAATAAGATGCTTAACACTTGGGTATTTATATATGCCAAAACCTTTTACCTGCAGAGCAGGCTACATTAGTTGAATATAGAGGTGGTTTAATGCTGGAGACAGTGAAAGAAGTGGAGAGGTAATTTTGAGGTGTTCAGTCAATTAGATGTTTTGGTAAATAATGACACTCAAGTGTTACAATGTGTCTTATTCAGTCATTGTAAACTATATTATTATAATCATGGAGCACTAAACCTGTAGGATTATACAGTGCATGTGAGGAGGATGGGGATGTAAGGTATTCAGCCTCAACTCAAGGAAAGAGCACAGATCCAATTCCCTAGCTCAAGAGCCCCTCACCAGTGTTAAGGAACCTCCCTTGAGGAGGATTGTAAACTATAAACAATATGATCCTTACCAAGAGAGTTGGATGAAGGAGAGGTGGCATCTAGTCCACTTGCAAGAAGACTGGACTTGGTTTCTGCAGGGATGTATCCATTGGACTCTGTGGTGCCACTAAAGGTGTAGGTGGTGGGAGAGATGCCTTTCTCAATCACAGATAACTCCTGGCTTGGAGGCGAAGGCGAACGGGAATTTTCTAGAAACAAAACAAATTGATGTGTTGTAGACATACAGAAATTGTACATTTCACAGATGCCCCCTCAAGGGAGGTTCCAGGATGCCAATAAGGGCTCTTGATCCAAGGAATTGGTCCTACCCTCCTCTTGGATCAAACCTGAATGCCTTCTATTTCCCTATGCATAATACTTATGGGTATTATTAATTATATTCAGCTGGAGCCTTGTATTATCCATGAATAATAATAAATCTTACACAAACTCTTACAGTACTGTATATGCAATATTTTAGTAATGCTGAAGATAAGCTTACATAATATATATATGTACATATACATATATAACATGGTAATTACAGAGGTAAACTGAAGAACAATACTCTTAAATAAGATTACAAGAAGTTAGAATTAATTTGGTGGCAGTGCACAAATACTGTTGCACCACAAATATATCCTGAGAAGTTTAATCCCACCCACACTGTAAGATCAGCATCTAATTATTTGTTATGGCATAGTCAGAGCTGAACACTCATTTCAGTCCAGTTACTGGTAACCCTTTTGCCAGGTGATGCAAAAAATTTAATTGCATTAAGTTTTCATCAATAGTGACAATACTCATAGTTGTACCAGTGATTTATTTGCTCCAATAGCAATATATCTAAACACTGGTTTTAAACTGAGGAACCAACAAGTCACTTATGTGGCTAGTTAGGTCTTGAATGTCATCAGTGCATTTGAATACAATTGGATACAGTAATATTTAAGTTTGACAGATGATAAGTGGGGAAGTGTAATGGATGAATATTTGTTGGTCTAAATTTTGCCACTTAATTAACACTACATATACAGTAGTACAATTTTTTTTTTCATCATACTGGCCATATCCCACCAAGGCAGGGTGACCTAAAAAAAAAAAAATTGCAAGTTTTTCTTTATAACTTTAGTAATGTATACAGGAGAAGGGGTTACTAGCCCCCTTGCTCCCAGCATTTTAATCGCCTCTTATGACATGCATGGCTTACGGAGGAAGAATTCTATTCCCCTTCCCCATGGAGAATAGTACAAGTTGCTGATGTTAAAATATATAAAAGATGAATGTAGGCTAGAAAATCAAATATGAAAAAATTATACTACACCAATTAGCAAAAGGGTTATAGCCTTAAAAAGTTCATCCTTATTTGGCAAAGAGCCACTCATTATTAAGATATGAGCTCAAAGGTTAATGAAGCTCAACAAATTGGAAACCCTGTTAGTAATTTATAAATACAAATGTTAATGAGAATATGACTATGTAAGACATAATGATGTACAACAGCTTAATGAGTCTGAGGAAAAGTGCTTTCTAAAAAAAAGTAGGTGATTGCTGAGCTAGCATAGAGAAATCTATAAATTATCAATTACAGATTCCTCGCAATCTCTTTTTAATGTGTTGAGACAGATAATGCCGAAGTTCAGTACTTCAGAAAGATCTTATGTAGCCACTAAAAATCCCAAATAAGAGATATTTGGTAATGAAGTGCTTAGAGGATTAAATTAGGTTTAATGCTTATTATACTGAATATGCCCATCAAATAGGTGCCTCAATGCCAGCGAGGGTCTCTTGATAATGAATATAATACACAAGGAATAAACAATATTGCCTGATGTTTGACTTGGGCATAGCACTGCATGACCCTTATGGATTTAGCACTTTGTTATGATTATAATAATAACTGACCTATATATGAGAAGTGCTAATTTTATTATACTGAAATACTTTTTCAATGACTTAAAACAAGTCTATAAAAAACGAGAAACTAAGGTTAGAAATTTTTTCCTGAAAGACAGAGAAAATACATAAATCAATGACCCAAGCACACATAACAAAAGAGTCCTGTACTCTTTCAGCATCCACCAAATTTTGGAAAAAAAAAAAAAAAAAAAAAAAAAAAAAGATGAATTCAGGACCTCCTTAGCCCATATCAAACTCATGGATAATGATACAATGCACCATTCATGAGTTAGGGTTCTAAGAACCCAGTTCACGCATAACAAAACACCACACACAAGTCGAGGATTCAAGAGCCAAGCCTGGGGATAGTGGCATACCATACTAGAGTTGCAGATCCACAAATCTAGCTGCAGGTAACAAGCAATTAGAATATAAAACATGCGGATCGGCAAAAATCACAAAAATACTCGCGTATACTTAGGGAATACAATAAATGGATATGTGAAAACACTTTTGGGTTCAAAACAATGATTGCAACACTAGAATTTACCTTCGTTATATAATAGTTCGACCATTTCTAAGTTATCTGAAATAACATTCAATTAATTCAATATTAACACATACTGAAACCAACAATATTGATAAATCAACTTGAAGATGCAATTTAATGCCTGTGCATGTTTAATACTAGAATAATAGAAAATCTTTTGTACACACTCAAAAAAACAAATTTGGTTACCAGTCAACAGCATGCATGGGTGGTTAATTATATTGGATGGATGTTAACTGCAAATGCCCTTTTTTTCCACTGTTCTTAAATTTATTTAATCCCCAATCCTCATCACTGTCACGACCCTCAAAATCAAAAGTCCCAACAATGTCAGTGTTAGAATTCCTTCTTTCTCCCTGAGGTAATGACACCAAAAATGCAAAATTTGATACAAGGTGCTGAAAAGAAAACCAACAAACTCCCAGTGAGTGAACACTGCATTTTCTATACAAAAATGTTCATCAGTCTTTAGAATGAGACCAGTATTGGCTACTGAGATAACATGCTGAGATAACAACACTGGGTTTCTTTATGTTGTTAAGCTCTGTAGGCAATTTTCACAAAAGTGACACTTGGCAAGTTTATTACTTTTCTTTTCAGTACCTCATAAAATTTATGGAATTATGCAGGTGCAAAGTTGGAGGTTGGGGAGCATTTTACACAGCTGCAATTTTGCCCAATCTGAGGCTTATTTTAAACCAATTACAGTGCTCAAACTGACTCAATTCCTGGCTATTTTGCTAGTATGCCTTCTCTACTATTGACTGAGAAGAAGAAACTGCTCATTCAACTGTCATAACTACCCTATAAATATACTCAGAAATTATTAATAAATTCCAGTATCAAAGCTCAAAAAAAAAAAACCATAAGAATTCCAGTCAGTAAAGCAACCTTATGTTTGTTCATTAATCATGTCCCCAAGCCTCACCTATAGAACAGTTGCCCTCCATTCTGAATCCATCATTACTAAAAAAAAAAAAAAAAGTTTTCTCAGCTAATAAAATATAATTAAAAATGATTGGTCATGGTTGAGCCCATCCCAATAACTGAAGCAACCCTGGTAAAAACCCACAAAACACACAAGATGGGGAGTGGGGGAAGGGGGGATTTGAAAGTCTCCTACCCAGCAAGAAAAATCACCAAAAATCAAATATCTGCCGCTTCACTAGAAAGGCCCGAAGAAACAGAAATTATAATCATAAAAACCACTCAGGAGAATGCCATGTCTGGGACACAATCAATCACAGTAAATTTGAGAAAGATGTGATTAAGACAGATCTACAAAAGCAATACTGGCCTCAGTGACATAAATCTATGTGACCAACAATGAAAGGGTTAAATAATTGAAGTTATGTACGAATAAGAGTTATGTTGTGAATAAGAGTTGCAAAACAGATGGGAGCATGTGAATGCATGGAAAAAGGTCAAAAAGGATCCCAGCTGATGATGTCAAGGAGCAACACATGATCAGTGACACTTGGTAAACAGTAATTCTAAAATACGACAAAAAAATGGATAGAGCCAGTTATTTAAGTGAAATACAGTATGAAACCTTTAAAACTTCAGCAGAAAGTTTAAATATAGTGCCACCCATTTTTGCTTCAATATCTAGAAACTCTTGATAACAGAAATAATTTGAAACTTTAATCAACTGCACAATAAGTTATGGCTATAATAGTGTACTTCAATAAAGAAGTTTTAATTTATACCATCAGTAGTACAAATGCAAGAAAAGTAATTCTATAAATGTATGCAACACATTGCAGTACTGTACTCTAAAACTAATTTTCAAAGCATGTTACAGTATTGGAAAATGCTATAAAAATGTTTAACTTTCAAGTTACTTTCAGAAAACTTGTACAGTGTACACTTACCAGCAGAGTCGAATGTGAATTTAACTTCATTCTCCTGCTTTGTTGCTTCATTGTCAAGTTGGGCTGTTTGGGTGTGGGGGGGAAATGCCAATCAGTTACAAGACAGTTGGTTAGTTTATAAAAAAAAATGTTTATCCTAAACTTTTTTTTCCTAGCATGTTACTTAGTGCACTTTTAAAAAAGACCTTGATTTGAGTATGTCTAACATCACTTTTCTTGTTTTCAGCTAGTTTTGATCTGAATATATTAATTCTGTTAGTACTGCATTACAAGTACAAACTATAATAATAAACTGAGTATTTAAAACTGCAATTCCATGCCATTTTGAAAACATTTGTATGAGGCTATACTAGATAACATTATAGCTTTACTAATTCACTAAAACACTAAACTCAATCAAATCAAGACAGAGCAGAAACAAAGATACTGTGTAATGAAAACTCACCATGAATTGCCTTCCGCTGGCGAGGGACAATAAACAGTTGAACAAAAACGGCAGTCAGGAAACCCACACACACAGCAACCACAATGGACCCCCACCATGGAATCAAGTCAAACTTCAGCACTGTAAGTAAATGCTTCTTTAATTTCACAAACAATACAACCTTCCATATGCTCTGGCATGATAGTGGCTTTCTTTGTACTTTGCATGAACACTACAGCCTTCAGTACATAATACTGCATATTATTACAGTGACTGTATACTATCAGGCCAGTATGGACCAATAATGTTTGTTTTGCTCTGAGCATATTTTTAAAAAAATCACTAATAAAAATATTTTGTTATGAATTACAGTACTGTTAATCATGAATTACTGTAATCTTGTATAAGATGCAACATATACTTACTGGCAGGTCCATCATGAACAATTGAAAAGACATTGACGAGAAGTGTGAAGCCATAGATAAAGGGAAGAGCACGGAGACCTGGCTCAAGTGGCTTTTCTTTCTTCAATATGAAGTGGTTTAATCCCAGGTAAATTATGCCAGACATTATGCCAGATAGAACAGGAGATACAAACCATGATGCAACTGTAAAAGAAAAAAATATATGTAATAACCAGTTGTATTAAGATTTCAAGGAAGGAAGGAAGCCATAATGTATACAGATCTGTTGGACCTTTATGATGTAAATGCACTCCGGATCCTGGGCAGCTGAACTAAGCTACAAACACTTAATCTTGTATGATAAGAATCTTTGATATATTTCACAAACTATACCAATTGCACAGATCATAATAAAGAATTTGAATAAAGCAAGTTTGCATAGTGCACGAGAAACCCAACCCTCAAAATAATTTATGGCATGACATGCTGTTGGAGTAAAAGCAGGGTAATATTTATGAAGCGATTTGTAGAAACCAGTTAGTTGGACTTGAGTTCTGGAGGTGGGAAGTACAGTGCCTGCCCTCTGAAGGAGGGTTGAGTTGTGATATCTGCACACTTCTGACAAGACAACTACTGAATAATAACTTTTTTTTTTTTTTTTTTTTTTTGCCAGTGTTAAAAACATCCAGTATTGTAACAGTGTACAAGTAGTATGTGTAATGCGAGGTTATGGTCAGCATTTCAATCTTCATACATGCTCAATGGCTGCTTCAATATTTATAATCCGTAAAAATAAAGACAGTTCCATTATGACGGAAATTTACATTAACATGACAGAAATTTACATTAACCTCTAATACAAAGTCTCTTTCATGTAGACTTATCTCTCTCTGGCAAGATTCTCTGTGATCACCAAAGTGATCATGCACCTGCAAAATGCTACCAAATGAAATAATCCTTTTGCTAGTTTAAAAATAATAAAAAAAAAAGTGAAAATAAGTAAAATGCTGCTGACTGTAAACCTTAAGTAATGTGAATCACTAGGCAATGCACCTTTTTTTATTAATACCAGACCCTTGAAGGGGTATGGTAGTAATAAGAGAACCTTCAATGGCATCATCAAAGGGTCTCTTGAATCAAGGAAGGGAAGCTGTTCTCTTCCTTGAATCAAACCTGATTGCCTCCAATTCCCCAGGTGCTATATGATCCCAATAGATTTGGTGCTTCCTCCTAATTATACTAATAACTACCACTATCAGAGAGATCTCATGTGCAATACTGGCGAGTCTTGCACAACCAAAAATAGGGAGAACCGGCAGAAGCCAGTAATGTGGAGGTTGTGCCAGCCAACCAGCCACCCGCACTACCCAATGTCACTCTACTTCCACTCCACAAAAATTACTGCACATCCTAGCTGAGTACACTATGGAGAGTATCTTTTTCAATGCACTGAAGGAATGCTCCAGCTTTGACGTTTTATTTCATGATACAAAGTATTCCAATGGCTAATGCCAGTTCCTTTATTACGATGGTCAATGTTTTAACATGAAAAGGTAAATTAGATTTGCTAGTCTCATATTTAAGCCTAAATAAATTAGTAATGTCACACAGTGCCAGCACTCTGAAGGAGGGGTGGGGACACTGCATTTGAACTGTAATGTTGGCACGCCTCTAGCAAGGCTGACAGAGTTAGTGAGAGTGAAAGTATTTATTCGGGTTACCCAAACTAGGTGGGAGACGGCTGGTGTTAAAAAATCATCAGTATAAAACAGCAAATACTTTTCAGTGTTTAAAAACAAGTCAATGTACTACTTACCAATTTTGCCAAAGGTACTCCAGTTGACACCATGGAATCCACGTGCACACAAGGAGAAACCAACAGTGGCTCCAACAATGGTGTGGGTGCCAGAGATGGGTAGCTTGAAGAAAGTAGCCACTAAATTCCACATGGCGCTACCCCCTGCAGGAGATACAGACAAACATGTGTGAAGAATTAACTGTTCCTGCCTGGTAATAACATGTCTAGAATTTACTGATCCTCTCTAATACCAGCAATAAATATTTGAAAATTTACAGAAACTCACCCAGTGCAGCAAGAGATCCCAGCATGAGTTCCTTTTCCGTGTTGTTGTAGAGTGATACATCCAAAATACCTTTCCGCACCGTATCTGACACCTTGTAACCTGCAACATAAGAAAGCAGCACTGCAGTTAACTTACTGATTGAAATTTCAACAGAGATTTGCCCCTGGTAAACTACAAGCCTAAAGTATGAATAAATACATGTCAGACTGCTGATATGTAGTGCATAGCAGTTAAGGGGCATGGTTATGAACTAAATTCTGAAACCTCAGTTAGACTCTGCAATGGAGGACTATGTTCTGCATATGGGGAAGACTTACCAATTGGTAGGCCAAAAAACAAAGTAATTCATGGGAGAACTTACATAATTAAACACTTGAGCCCTTAAACTCGATATTAATTTACACAGCTTTAAGATCTTATTTAATTACAGTATTTCCAAGATTTGAAATATAGACTGCATTACAAGTTATGTCAACTGTACACAGTTTACAACAGTATTATATTCAATTTGTGCATAACAGACCTCTTTGAGCACCTAGGCTGATAAAGTTCTTAACCCAGAAACTTGGCTGATAACCTAAAATTATGTAGATGTCATCTAATCAACGTAAAATGTAGATACAGCTTAGGATTCCAGATATCATTAGCCATGAAATGTTTTGCCATGTCCTGTAGGGTTTGCATGGAGGTGTCTCTGAAAGGCTGGATGTTCGGACACTTAAGACAGTGTTCCAGTCCACATTACAATAACTCTAATCTCTGGGAGGTAGAGTTCAATATGGCTTGTACCATAGTGACCAACAACAACAATAATGTTAATAAGTACTTCTGACAGTGGGCACTGGTTAGTGGTAGTTTCTAAGAGGGTGAAAGATTATAACAGTTCCTCCTTAGCTTTGAAGTTTCCCTTGCTAGTAATCTCTAGTGATGGTACACTCATCGCTCCACTGAGTTTCCCAGCTCTGGCGTGATGTCAGCAAGCTTCAGCCAAAACGATTTTTTTTTTTTTTTTTTTTTTTTTTTTTGGAGGGGGGGGGGGGAAGAGTTATCCTAGGTATTTTACACACGTTACTATGTAACAAGTGTAAGTCACCCAAAACTTACGTAACTGTATTTGCATAAATTGTACCCATCGTGCGATGGATATGATGTCTATGTATAAAGAGCAATCAATTATATCACACCACAATGGACAAAAATAAGAGGGGCAACAAAAGTTCTGCAGTGCGAACAGAAAACGGGTAGGCAATGAGCACAGTAATAATAATAATGTTAGTTTAATATTCGTCAGGAAAGTAGTATCCTGACACGGGTTTTAATCTTTTGGCGACCCGTACTTGTATTAGCCAGTTAAGCGCTAAACCCGAAGGGGTCATACTGCAAGTGAGTGGCTTAATTTGCTTTTTTACCAATCCCCCATTTAACTGGCTTTAAAGCAGTGAATAAGAGGATGCCTGGCTGGGCGCCCCGATCAACGGTCCAGAGGGCTGATAACGACTTACGTCCAGGGGGAGAACACGAGGAATTTGTTAACAACGCGTCTACCTGCACCTCTGCGGTCATGTATTGCATGTACATGTATTGTGTAGCTCATCCTGTGAGCTGTATAGCCCTTGTGGTTTAGCGCTTTTTTTATTATAATAATTATCCTGTGAGCTGTATAGATCTTTCGGATATGGCTATGTCATTTCACAGTCTCTTCAATTCTTAATTATCTGCTTGATACTGTATGCGGATACACCCAAGATTTCGGTGCGAGATAAAAACAAAATAACGCCCACTCAATTCTAAAAGATTAACAAATCCCGTAATAGGTGAAACTTCCCTTAATAAGGATGAGTGTCCATAGGGTTGTACGTAACTTTAAACAACAATCTGTCGGTAATGACATACCTAGTTACGTGTATCCTCAGGATTTCATATATTAACAATGAAGTGACCGTCACTGCCCGAGAGATTATTTTGACCGTATTCCCAAAGCAAACTAAATTCTAGGATATAACATTCTAGTGTGTTTACCTGACTGTTCACACTGCGTGTGAAGTATCTCCGTGCAAACTTAAGTGTTAGATTAAAGCCTATCAGCTGCGCAAGGATCAGTAAAGACTGCAATTCACTTGTACAGTCAAGAATACTTAATCCCTATAAATGGGTGTGAATACCTTAAGTCTCTCGGTGCATATACGACATCGTACAAAATGAACTCCCCCGAGGTGTTCATAGCATTTGTCTAGTACAGACACCAACCTTGAAAATTTTTATTAATACGAAAACAATGTGACAGTAGCAGTCTCTTGAGTAGTGACGTCCCCGGCCAGTAAGCCACACATTAAACAATTCTCTTGCATCCTACATCATTTATAAATAAGACACATATGCAACAGTTAGGTATCTTTATTCGAAACGTTTTGCCAACACAAAAGGCTTCTTCAGTCGAGTTAGTTTAATATGTTTATTATGCACCCCATACCCATCCTGTGGGCGGTAGTCAAAAGATTACAGAGGTACATAATTGGTCCAGGGACTGGACTCCAAAGTTTTGATAGCTGAGCAAGTTTATTTTTTGCTCCAGACTATGGACAAAACTTCTCCAGGCTGAGGGACTGACCACCTCAAAACTACGTTTTCAAGGGTGATGGACTGATTACATCGTCTTCACATCTCTACTGCTTCTGCTAAACTCTTCTATACTCGACTGAAGAAGCCTACTGTGTAGGGGAAACGTTTCGAATCAAGATACCTAACTGTTGCATATGAGTCTTATTTATCAACTTGTCGGTATTTTATACCATTTTCATAGTCATCATGTATAAACATTGCCCTCCTTGCCTGAAAGCTGAATAATCGCAATGGGCAAGAATGAAGAATGACAAATAGGAGAGGAAGAGATAAACTCTTTCCCCTGTCATCAGATCAGCCTGTTTGACACTTTTTAATGTGTGTGTCAGGGTCGGCTACAGTTGAACATCCGTACCTTACATTGAGAAACCAAGACTTGATATTATTAAGTGTTATGAATATACTTCAAATATATGAGCAATGCTTCTCTACCTTATTAATCTGTCCAGTCTGCCGACTACATCTTAACTAAGAAATAAATACCCTGTGGGCGAGCCGCGAGGGGCATCTTAACTTAGGGGTCTGCGTCGGTGCCCTAAGATTTCCGAACCCGTGAGGCTGTAATGGCTATGTCATATTTATGTCCATTCTGTAATATGCTTTACCTCTGACCGGTTTCAGGGGTTCTTCTACCTAGCAGCCCCCTGAGGTTAGGCTTTCCTGTTCAATGCCAAGCCATATCAACCAAGCTGTTTGTGCTAGCGACCCGCAGGCCCACATAACCATCATAATCCGGCTGATCCGGTAGCACACATCTGGGACTTCTGCTACTTATACTTCTTGATATGAAGCCAAGAATATGTATGATAGGGATCACGCAACCAGGAGTGTGGTCCTAGTAGCGCCCAGCAAAGGCAAGGCCAGGAGCCGAGACCTGACCCTTGCAGCCACAATTAGGGGAGTACTGGTAAACCAGTATTGCTTAATTAGATATCCAACACTGGTAAGCCAGCGGGTCACACAACTGTCAAAGACCCAATTACAGAGACAATGTTCCTGTTTCCTGACGAGCTAAACACTACCGTCATGGCGAGTTTGTATGGACAGAAGAGTATGACGGTATACCAGACACCCATGTGGCAGAGTATATGAATGAAAACAGTGGGTTTAGGACACTACTGTGAGTCCACCACTCTCCAAAAGGAAGTTGCGGAATCTGTCTCCTGGCACATGTAGTATCCAGCCATGACCTATTATTTTCTGGTGTTAATGATTTTAAGTTGTGAAAGAGCGTCAACAGTACACGTGAAATTTCGAGATGTTAACATCAAGAACACTCAATCCATAAAATGGGAATTTAAATAAACACATTTCGCTGTACAAGCCATGCGTGTGTCATCGAAAAAAAAAAAAAAAAAAAAGGCTACGCGCTCAAAGGTGTTGAAAGTAAGTACAATAAAACGGGTTGCAGCAGGAAGCTGAGCAATGAGCGGTGCTGAAGGTCGAAGTTATTCTAGAGGGACAGGCGGCTACGCTGCAACAGCCCATCACAATTATACTATACTAGCCGGGCATTCGAACCCGTGTTGTTTTAGCCCACTTCATGGTGAGCCAAAATTCAGGACGCTCTAACCCACTGGACCGCTCACCATGAGGCGGACTCGATCCCCCGGCTAGTCGCAGTGTTGTTATTGATTAATACCACCTGTTCGTGGTTACGATATTATATATACTGCTTGTGAAGGCTAGTACACCAAACGGGGAGTAGAATGAAATTAGCTCTGAGGCACCCATACCATCGTATGTCCTCGGATCACGGTACAACACCTAGCTCTGCTGGGTGCGTGATTTTTGTAGGATTGTATGGTCCAGTGGGTTAGAGCGTCGTGAATTTTCGCTCACCGTGAGGCGGGCTAAAACAACACGGGTTCGATCCCCCGGCTAGTCGCAGTCTATATATATATATATATATTATATATATATATATATATATATATATATATATATATATATATATATATATATATATAGATGGGGAGAGGGAGGTATTAGGTAGATGGCGAGAATATTTTGAGGAACTTTTAAATGTTGAGGAAGAAAGGGAGGCGGTAATTTCATGCACTGGCCAGGGAGGTATACCAAATTTTAGGAGTGAAGAAGAGCAAAATGTAAGTGTGGTGGAGGTACGTGAGGCATTACGTAGAATGAAAAGGGGTAAAGCAGCTGGAACTGATGGGATCATGACAGAAATGTTAAAAGCAGGGGGGGGGATATAGTGTTGGAGTGGTTGGTACTTTTGTTTAATAAATGTATGAAAGAGGGGAAGGTACCTAGGGATTGGCGGAGAGCATGTATAGTCCCTTTATATAAAGGGAAAGGGGACAAAAGAGATTGTAAAAATTATAGAGGAATAAGTTTACTGAGTATACCAGGAAAAGTATACGGTAGGGTTATAATTGAAAGAATTAGAGGTAAGACAGAATGTAGAATTGCGGATGAGCAAGGAGGCTTCAGAGTGGGTAGGGGATGTGTAGATCAAG